CCAGGAAACAACTCAGAATTAATCTGAAGAGGTATATGTAATAACCACCAAAAAAGATACAAGTTGGCATTTTTCTGTTTATGCGGTTGCCATGGTAACCGAGCAAGCTCATTAAATATGCAGAAAACTTCTGGCACCAATTCCTCTTTAACTCTATGATAGAATTCAGTTTTTCTTTCATCATTTAAAAGCCATTGCTTATCCAAATGCAATGACATAGCCATTCTTTGCCCAATTTATCAGTTTTGTGATTTTGGGGCATTTTACTCAAATTTTGAAATTATTTTGCGCAGAATCTGGCGAATACTCAAAATATTCAAAGTATGTAACAGATAGGCAAAATTTCCCTATGTCATTGCATTTCTAATGAAGTAAAGTACCTGCACCCCAAACTTCATTGATTTTCAATGATAAATAAATAAAAGTTATGGCTGCCACAAACATGAGAAACGTGGAAAAAGTAATACCTTAGGAAATCAATGGAAAATGCATCAGACCGCATTGAAAAGTTGAGTTCAGTCTTAGTCTGTGGCTTACACCCATTTTCCAGACTGTATTATCTGATTATTCAAATGTTTATCACTTTGCTGGAGTGAAAAGCATAAATTTCATCATCACAGTTTAAATCATGATTTTATGGCAAAATTCAGTTTTTAATCCTTGTAGCAATTAGTGATTATTAAAGGTGGGTTATTATAGAATATTTTTATTAAAAAAAATTTTTGGAAAAAAAAAAAATAATCAAATTTTGCCCATTTAACCCCAGATCACCCCTTAATGTGCCAGCTTTTTTAGACATGAGGCTTTTCTTTTAAATTTTACATACAATCAGAAAAAAGTTCACATCAGGTAGTAGAAAAATGTTGGCTTCCTATTCTAAATCTATCTGAAATGTGCAAATGAACACAGAACCATACCTGAATAATTAATAATTATCATAATTACATTAAATAATTAATTAGCAAATACCATCTTCAGGGGCAGGATTCACATAGGTGGGAAGGCTTCCTCCTGTAAATTATATTCATATTAATTTAATGTTTCCCAATGACAATTAAACAGGTCACAGATTATATGAAAAGTTTAATTGCAAAGCGCAGTAAACAGCAAGCTAGTTTTTCCGCTGAGATATATCCACGCAGCCAATCAGCGATGGAGAATCTAGCCCAACAGGCTCCGATGGTTTAGCGACTCTGGTTTTGGGCAAATCAAAAATACGACTGTCATTTCTATGCTGCAAGCTCTGCAGAAAAAAAGATTCCCTACTTTATCCATTGAGAAGGCATTTCCCGTCAGTAAACGTAATTTTCTTCCCGCAGACCAAGTTTCTGGCCGCATTGAGCAGTAGATTTGTGAAAAGGACAGTGTACTGCACGCAGAGGAGTATTACGACTTATTATGGAAACAGGGAAATGTTTACTTCTTTGTTTTTGACTGGCAGGCATTTGATTTCAAATTGCACTTACGTGGATATATTGCATTTTTCACATAATTCATTTTTCTTTAATAATGCAGTGATTTAATTGCATCATGGTGTAGTGTTTTAACTTGTTTAGCAAGACATACTAAGAAATAAGAAAGGTCCTCTTACTTTTCCCGATGGCAAAAATTAGCATTTTTCTGAAAATGCTGTGACTGGATAAATTTCGTTTCGTAATTAAACTCTTTATGTCCTTCAGTTAAAAAAGGTCAGAACTTGTAAGCAAAAGATTGCGTCATTGGCATATTATTAACCAGCATTAAAAACGCACCACCTTAATTAATCATGGCCAAGATACAAATTATGTATGTTTATGATAGGTGTTATAAAAGTGTCTGATGCATCCTGACAAGAGGGCCCAATGCTAAATTAGTTCTTTGACAGGCATTTATGCCATTGCAGGCCAAAAAACTAAAATCTAAATTTTTGTCAACAGGGCAAAATCCAATGACATCATTTTGGTTCTCTTCTCACGATATGACAGTGATCAGATTAAGGAAAAAAAGTTGATTAGCATTTTTTTGCTAATCATTATTCCAATTGATTAGCAATTGTTTAGCACATCTGAAAAATGATTAGCAAAAATGAGAAAACAGTAAATCAGATTTTAAATGACAAAAGGGCTTTTTTATTCTTTCCTAATGACAAATTACAATTACAAGAGAAATACTACTCCACTCTGAAAGCAAAACAAATTATTTCCAAAAGGCACTAATTTTACCCTGAACTATCATAATTTAATACAGCACACTTCCATTTCCTAATGAAATTTCTGTAAACTACTTGTAACCGGCAGTACAGCTGTCTTATCTACACCTTACTGTAGCATAATGTTGTTTAACGCCTGATCAGAGATGTAAATGACAATTTTTTGTTGCAGTATGTTAATAAACCTACATGAGAGAAGGCAATGTTAGATTTAGGGCTTTGTAATGACCCTGATAGAATTAGCAATGTTGAGGTACTGATGCCACTTGGGACTAGTGATCACTCTAATGTTAATTTTGATGTTTCATGGGAAGTTAAAAAGGTGTCTTCGAAAACCAAAATTTTCAATTAACGACCTTGATAGGAATACTGAGAGCAAATTGGTTAAATTTGCGGATGATACTAAATTGGGAGGTTTGGCAAATAGTTTTGACTCTACTAAAGTGATTCAGGATGATTTGGATAGAATCCAGAATTGGGCAGAAATGTGGCAAATGAAATTTAATGTAGCGAAATGTAACGTTGTACATGTAGGTAATAAAAACACTAGACAGGATTACTCCATGGGAAGTTTAAAACTGGAATGTGCTCCACACGAGAAAAGATCTGGGAGTGATTGTTGACCAAACCCTCACAGGTTCTAGCGATTGCGCCATAGCAGTTAAAAAAGCCAATCGGATGCTGGGATACATTGCCAAAAGTATTGAGTACAAATCCAAGGAGGTCATACTTCTCTTGTACAACACATTCGTCAGACCACATCTGGAGTATTGTGTACAGTTCTGGGGACCATACTTTAAGAAAGATATAGAGGCTCTAGAAAAAGTTCAGAGAAGAGCCACTAAGCTAATTCCAGGTTAAAAGATGAAAGCTATTAGAAGAGGCTGAAGATCCTTAATCTCTTTAGTCTTAGGAAAAGGAGACTTAGGGGTGATCTGATTGAGGTCTTTAGATATGTTAAAGGGATTAACAAAGTGAATTATGTAGGATTCCTTCGGCCAAGTTTTGTTAGTAGAACTTGGGGTCACAAATGGAAGTTGACCAAGGGTAAATTTAGCACTGATATTCGGAAATATTTTTTCACCCAAAGAGTAATTTCGAAGTGGAATAGCTTGTCTGACCATATTGTTGAGGCAGAAACCTTGGGAATTTTCAAGAGCAGGCTTGACTTAAAGCTAGATACCATTGCGTCTTTGAGTATCTGAAGTGATATATTCACAATAGTATAAAGAAACTGGCGAGCTTAGTTGGGCTGAACGGCCTGTTCTTGCCATTCATGTTATGTTATGTTAACATTTGAGAGGATGTGTTTCTGCTCATTTTCATCAAGTTCTTGCCTCAGTTGCCATCTAATGGCGATGTTTATCAACTGACTTATCAACTTATGCCTCAAAAATAATGGGCAGCCAGCATTATCCAGAGTAGTTCCTTTATCTCTCCTCCATAGATTCAGGTGGCATATTTTCAAAAGGTTTTTTCTCTGTTTCTGTATCTTTAAGTTCCTGCCACACCATGCATCTCAAAGGGGTTCAAGTCTTGCCTTTGACTAGGCCACTCCAAAATCTTTACTTTGTTTCTTTTGAGCCATTCCGAGATGGACTTGCTCTTGTGCTTTGCACGATTGTCTTGCTGCATAACCCAACACCTCTTGAGCTGCAGATCCTGGGTTGATGATTGTTATTACTGTATTTAATGAGTCTCTCCTCACACTGTACCTGAGCTTGCTGTAGAAACACGTCTCTGCTGAGAGCCACAATCAGGCACAGGTGCGTCTGGCAACACTTCTCTGAAACAGACAGGGAGTAATTATTTACTGCATTTAATGCCGCCGCTATGTATCTCACAAACAAGCACGCACACATAAACACACACATACACACACACACACACACAGGGAGTAATTATATACTGCATTTAATGCTGCCACTATCTCACAAGCATGAATACACACACGCATACTCACGCACGCACACACACACACACACACACACAGGAAAAAGGTGGAAAAGCAGTTGGAGGCAGGACAGACAGATACTCACAGACGTATACACAAATACACACACTCAGACAGAGGCACACACACAGATGCACTCACATGTAACCCTCTCCTTCCCCAGCATCCTCCTCATCACTGTCTTCGTTGATATATTCACCTGTAGAGAGTAAAAATGCAATCATAACCTCCATCGGATTAAGTTTATCTGGTTGACATCTTTGACAAATTGTCTCATGATTGTCCCATGAGTTCAGCCCAACTTTTTTAAAATTTTAATCACAATTCTGTTATCCGCAGAAGCAGACACAATGTGTATTTAATCCACAAATATTGAACTTCTATTTTTTCATATATGGAAAATTATAGAAAATATCTTATTATTCTTATTCTGAAACTAAGTATAGTACGTTAATGAACACAGAGAGAAAACATAATTCTTGTGTTAAAATAGCATATCATTTCTGGAAGTTGGTACAATGAGGAAAATATATATGGCATTGATTTGTAAACCTTCTCTGACCAGAATTATATTGAGGATAGAGCAAGACAAAACACAGATAGATAGAGATAAGATCCACTTTATTGAACCCCGTGGGGTAATTTGTCCACTGCATTTAACCCATCCTATAGTTAGGAGCAGTGGGCAGCCACAGATCAGGGCCCGGGGACCAACTCCAGTTCTAAAGCCAGTTCCTTGGTCAGAGGTTCTGGTAGGAGTGTTACTGTAATGCATGTCTTTGGACTGTGGGAGAAAACTGGAGTATCCAGAGGAAACCCACGCAAACACGGGAAGAACATGCAAACTCCACACAGGAAGGCCCCAGGCCGAATTCAAACCCACAACCTTCTTGCTGTGAGACAGGAGTGCTAACCACTGCACCACTGTGACGCCCAGAGAGAGAGACACAGAGTCCACCACTTTGCGGTCCTAGCAAGAATGACACAAAAGCACCAGACTGCACCGGAAGCACCACTTAAATAGTCTCTCCACTGCTGCAACCAATGAGTCATCAACCACCTGATGTTAGGGGTCCATTGAAAAGGCAAAGGAGCAGTGCTCTTAGTCGGGGCAGCAATAGCATTAAAACTGCGAACAAACCGTCTATGAAAATAGGCAATTTAAAAAAACACTGAACCTGTTTAACGGATGGAGGGGTGGGCCAATCCCTGATAGCAGAAATTTTCTGCGGATCCATTTGGAGCCTACCCTCCAAAATAACAAAGATCAAGAAAGAGATGGTCTTTGTGCGAAAAATGCACTTCTCAGCTTTGACAAAGAGCCATGCTGTCAAAAGCGCTTGGAGCACCTGCTTAACATGTGACGCCGTGTTCAAACAGCGAATCAGAAAAAAAAAGAATGTCGTCCAAAATAGACGAACACAAATTTCTCTGGCATTTCTCTTAGCACATCATTAACAAACGCCTCAAAGACGGATGGGGTGCAATTGAGTCTAATAATATCACAGAGCTTGGCTCAGAATCCAGATAATCGCAGACTGGCTTTTCCAGATACTGTTCTCAGATGAGAGCCTCCAATATCCAGCCATGTGATGAACAGGAAATGCCAATTACCAATACACAATATCAGCGGTAGCTAACTAGCTAGTCTCGGGCAGCTACAATCGTCAGGAGAAGCTGGGGGAGGGGTGGGGGAAACCAAAAAAGAGTAAAACCCCTGTAAACTTCAAACGGGCCGAATAAACAACTTGTTTACTATGAGAGTTAACTAAACATGGTATCTCCCAACAGGTTGTAGCTAAGAACTCAAACATGCAACTAAACTTTGACGAGCTGATCAAGGCACAGCAACCAGAGGAAAATACAAAAATAACGTAATTAGCAATATGTTTATGCATAAGAGCCCTTCGGTAAAAAGGAGATACGGAAAAAGAGTAAAACCCTGGTTAACGTTAATATTTAATTCCAGTGGTCCGGGTGAACATCCCGCTTACAACGCAGCTAACTAAACATGACTTGACTTTGATACACTTATCCAGGCACAGCGACCAGAAGGGAATACTATGGGCTCGAAATTCGTTGAGCAGGCGCAGGCGCGGCGAATTGGGGGAGCGCCGCGCCAACGGGGTGTATCCAGGCGTAGTTTGCAATTTCGTGCCCGGCACAAGTACTCCTCTGTCCCGCCTCTGTCCCTCCTGCTGGCGCAAGTGGCAAAGAGGGAGGAGAGAAGGCGTGAGTGGGTTTAACACAGCCAAGTCAAATCTTCACCAATCAAATGAGCCTCTCCTCTCTCCTCTCCTCACCTTTAAAATGTTGGAATAAAGAAGCCTCTGTCCTATATCTGCATGATGCGTTAATGTTGCATTTTATTTTGCTGCTTCAGGTATGTTTTCCGCACCGCTTACGTCTATATTAAGCATTACAAATATGAGTTAGCTGGCTAGCTAGGGCATTTGCGAATTATTACCATTAACGAACTTGAATGGAATTTTAAAACGAAACTACATAAGATCATTCAACCTTATGAAGTTGGAATGAAATACAACGGTTGCTCATTTATTTCTTCTGCCTGCATCATTGGGAAGAGAAACGATGGATAGCGTGTTCCTATTATTACACCCTGTTGCTGCTTAAAATTTTGGGATTAACATGCATGGACAATAATGCAAGATACGTTACACATTTATTTTCAATATGTGATCTTAACTCAGTACGAGATCATAGCAATCAAGCTGTATTCCTTTCCCCCACTAAAAACGATAAAACCTAATTGACAATAATAGTATTAAGCCGCTTGCACACTGGACGCAAAACAAATTTTTCGCACAACAGATTACATTCAAAGTCAAGGCAAAGACCGCGTCTTTGCCTTGACTTTGTATGTAATCAGTCGTGCGAAAAATTTGTTTTGCGTCCGGTATGAAAGCAGCTGAAGGACACATACCCACATAGCCTACACACACACTCGTGCCCACATGCACACATCTATCTCTCTCTCTCTCTTTGATCTGACATCAGGACAATCGATATAGATACTATAATTTATGAGCTGATTCAGATAGTTACATTAAATAGTGGTTGCTGTAATTATTTATTGCATTGAAATGTGCCTGACATTCTGGAAACCTGCCTGTGAGGTTTCAGTGACGTGTGCACACTGTGCGCCGGTCAGCCAAATTACCACTGCACAGAAAGTAAACCAGGTTGGAGCTGGCGAGCTCTCTGCGCACTTTCGGCGGAGCCTTTTGCAACGAAATTGTCACTGCGTCATGATGAATATGTGACACCTCCCCCACTACGCCGCCACACCCATCTCGGCGCACGTCCATCTAACAAATTGCCAAAGTGGCTGTGCACGGTGTTGCACCACACGAAATTACCACTGCGCAGGGCTGCACTGGACGAAATTACCACTGCGTGGGCTGCGCCACCCTGCGCTGCGCCAAGAAATTAGAGCCCTATATATCTAACTTGGCAAGATGTTTACGCGGTAAAAAAGAAAGACCGAAAAGGAATAACTAGAGTGCCAAGGGCCCTGAAGGTTGCTGGCAGTTACAGCTCCAACAGGAGAAAAGTAACTAGCATCAGACCGCGGATTCAACAGCAAGCCAACACGAATTCTTGTGAAAGCAACCCGTTGTCTACACGATATTGGCGTTAAAAAGCTCCAGCTCGGACATCCGCGAAAAAATTAAACCTGTTTAATTTTTTTGCGAATTTCGACGGTGATGGTGAATGGTCCCGTACCACTGCGAATCAATTCACGGTTCTTCGAATCAATTCTTCTCTGCGAAAGAAGAGAACTGTTTCATCCGCACACTTCCGCGGGCCAACGCAGCTCAGTGAGAAAGGGGTTTTAGTTACCATTATCGGGCAACTCGACTGAGCAGTCATACTTTTTCATGAGTGACAGACAGCAACATTTCTGCCATTCAGCAAAAATATAATCTTTAAGAAGTCTACATCATGAAATCCGATTAGATTTTTTTCTAACCTGAACTTTCACTGTCGTCTGCTGTCAATTTGTGAAGTGCGCCATCTTCTCAATTCACTTCTGGTTCTTGCTCTGCTTTCAGACAATGATTTTTTTACACAATACTGCCACCGAGTGGGTCTAATTAGTGTTATTCTTTCTATTCCATGATGCTAATAGGAACAAACATCCAAAAATGGGTTTTGACCAGTTTTTATTGTCGCAATTGATCGTGAAAAAAGGTCGACCATGCGGTTACAATGCCCATAAAATTTTTTATTATATATAGGTTAGTGCCTAATAAATACTAATTTCTAAAGACATTATTAAATGAGGAAATAAATAGATTGATTTTGTCAAATGACCTTGACCTTGAAGACCAAAGTCAAATGCAATATAGTGTGTTTGATCAGCATACATGATTTGTCATTAGTATCCAATACATACCGAAGATCTAAAGCCAACATTAAAGGACTTTTAGGCTGTTTTGTCATAACCTGGACGTTGTTGCCCAAGGTCAAATCCAATATGTCGAAAACAACCAGCATATATGATTTGCTATTAGTGCCCAATACATACCTAAGCTCTACAAACAATATTAAACAAATATGGGCCATTTTTTTCATATAACCTTGACCTTGAGGCCCAACATCAAATTTGATTGACTGCCTAAGAATGTTCAGCATACATGGTTTCCTATAGGTGCCCCAAACATACCTGAGCTCTAATTGCCATATTCAGCAAGTTTTTGCAATTTTTGCCATTTGATCTTGACACCCAAGTCATATTCAACTTGTCGAGAATGTTTGGCTTACATGATTCCCTATAGGTGCCTCACACATACCTAAGCTCTAAATGCCACATTAAGCTGTTATAACACATGAGGCCCAAGGTCAAATGTGACTGACTCACAATGTTCGGCATACCTGATTCCCTATAGGTGCCTCATACATACCTAAGCTCTAAATGCTATATTAAGAGAGTTATAGCACATTTTTGCCATTTGACTTTGACATGGAGGCCCAAAGTCAAATGTGACTGACTCACAATGTTCGGCATACCTGATTCCCTATAGGTACCTCATACATACCTAAGCTCTAAATGCTATATTAAGAGAGTTAAAGCACATTTTTGCCATTTGACCTTCACCTTGAGGCCCAAGGTCAAATGTGACTGACTCACAATGTTCGGCATACCTGATTCCCTATAAGTGCCTCATACATACCTAAGCTCTAAATGCTATATTAAGAGAGTTATAGCACATTTCTGACATTTGACGCTGACCTTCAGGCCCAAGGTCAAATGTGACTGACTCACAATGTTCGGCATACCTGATTACCTATCGGTGCCTCATACATACCACACGTCTAAATGCTATATTAAGAGAGTTATAGAGCAAAACACCCCAAAAAATGAAGTCCAGACACGCTGCCTAGGTGGCGCTATGAAGGAGCGATTCAATCAAAACGCCGTTTACACCGTTGAAGCAGGTCATGACAGTTTTTTTTTTCATCAGACAGTTTTTGAGAACAATGCACCTAAGTGCAAAAAATGGCAATTTTCGACATAAAATTGGCCGCCAAGTCTAAACGAACGATTCAATCAAAAAAAATTTTGCTCGGGCATTAACTTGATGACCGATTTGATCACATCCCCAAATAAAAAAAAAATTCATCCGACCGTTTTTCAGATACAGCTTTAAACGGACGACGCTGACGCCGCCGAACGCAAAGTGACGACAATGGGTTACTGGCCTACAGCCGGCAACCTAAAAACCCCACTGAACGTCAATATTTTTTGTCTAGAAGACTGTATGAAACCAACCCAAGTTGTAACTAGATATAAGAGTAATTCGATAATGTTTCTTAGCGCTGAGAAGCTTACTAAAGTTTGTTGGCTAAATTAGCTACAGAAAAACCAAGCGAGAGTAGCACAGTCCTTGAAAATAACTTTGTTTT